GACCCATCGGAAGTCGATTACGAAAAGCTCAACAAAATGCCATTTTTGGACGCATTCATACATGAGGTGCTCAGGGTCAACTGCTCGGCCAGTAGGTATGTCCCATCGAGTTGTGTCATAGTTAATACGGGAGCTGGTATTCTGGTGTATTAAAATTTATAAAGTTAATATGAGTACTAAATTATTATTGTAAATCTCATGTTACGGTTATGGCAAATAATTGTTTTATTTGTGCACTAGGTTACTTGTGCACTTTACATAGTTAGATTAAAAACAGGACTTGATCAGTTGCTTTTAAAAATGATTTGTAAATTATTTACCAAATAATTAGTGAATATATTGTGTTAATTAACAGAATCGACAGAATCACTACAAATGACCGCAATCTGGACGGCATATATTTGCCAAAAGGGACGCCTATTATTATACCCATATGGGCCCTACACATGGACCCGGATAACTTTGAGGATCCTGAGGAATTTAGGCCAGATAGATTCATGCCTGAAAATCGACACCTCATTAAAGACTACACATACCTGCCCTTTGCTACCGGCCCTCGTAATTGCATTGGTCGTAAATTGGCCTTGATGGAGTTGAAATATTGTTTGGTAAAAATGTTGTCAAAATTTGAGTTTATGGCCTGTGATAAGACCAAGGTATAAAATAGCGTATGATTTATATTGAATACTAATCCTTTCTATCTTATATTACTTATATCAATGAATTGATTAATTTAATTTAAATGTATGATGGTAGGAACTGGACTATTATAACCCGCTCATTCAGCTAGCAAGTATGAAACATTTAACGGTTCGCATAAAACACCGAGTAACTGGCTGATTGCATATACAGTAGATCACTATAATTAATGTTAATTACTAATTAATAATTAGCATTAGGGATAAGATTGACTGAAAACTATAATTGTCAATAAAAATTACTACTAATATATATTTGGACTGTTGTTATCTAAACAATACACTCATAAGTTATTATAAATGACATAAATCTGCTGGGAGACTTTTCAAAATTTGTTTACATATTTTGTAATGATTCACAAGTTTTATGAATAAAATTATTTTGTCTGCATTTTAATTTATTTAAAATATATATATAATTTCATGACTGTAACTGTATGTTTAAATTGACATAAAATTTTAAAATCTCGTTGTATACACAATTTATTTTTAAAATAATTCACATGCAAGCTGTAATTATCGATATATATGCAAAATTTTTAACGTATAATTAAAAGTTACTAAGCAGCAGGCTCTCTTTTCACAAAATGGATATTGATAATTTTGATACTACAGTAATTTTCTACATGATATCACTAACAATTTCCAATAATAAAAGTAACCGAATGGCCACTATTAGTATTTTATATTTAACAATGATTAGCATCGGACATAAGAATTTGCATATATTTTAACATTATATGCATACAAATTAATCGCTGTGATTATGAGTTGAAAAGTTTATAAAGTGCAAGTTCATAATGTTAAATCTCTCTCTCTCTCTCTCTCTCTCTCTCTCTCTCTCTCTCTCTCTAATGATAAATTCTATTAATAAATATATAAATATATTTTGACTACAAATTAAAACATATGTTTAAAAATCAAATTATAAAGTGATAAAATGTATTTTCTGTCAACATTAGGGTTAAATTGAAAATAAATTATTTTTAAACTTAAATGATTCAAAATTTTCTAAAAAATTGTTTCAATATTTAACCACATGATGACTAAACACTAAAATCATACAGACAAGGCAATTTATATTGTAAATAAATTATATTAAATATTAGAATTTTCACACTGACATCCTGGTCAATTGGGGTATCAAACATGTATGACCTCTACATTTTCATTGTTATCATAACCCTATGGCTGTTAACCGTATTATACGCCACTTTGAAACACCTATTAATTGGGACTCAATTTAATGGCACAAATTTGAGCACATTTTCCATGCTTACTAATTATCGTAAGATTATGCCTGACCAGGGTGACACCACCGGTAGTATGATGTTTGGCGCTCGTGCTATTACCATGTTTATTGTGTTGACCACTCACTTTTTCATCATGCTACTACAATCGCCACCTGAGAATCAACATGTCCTAGGGGCTATGACTGAGAATATAACGTATGTATTACAGTATTACAATATTTTTCTATTATCTTTCTAAATTTAATTATGCCAAGATAGTATTTGATTTTTATATAATTCATTTTAATCTGACACAGTTATGCTGTATTCATACTACCCTACTTGGCTATGCACCTTGGAAATCTAATGAGTGGTATGGCATCAGCAAGGTGCTTTACCCAACAATATCCACAGCACCAGAACAATGCTAATGTTGTTCCAATGGTGCTACGGTTTTACCTAGGTCGTATAATCCAAATGGCACCAATCTATTACATGTGCCTATATTTCTACATAATTTTCGTTAAATATCTCATAAGCGATATGTTTTACGACACAACTGTTGTCAGCGCCTGTAATAGCAATTGGATTACAAATGTATTGTTTGTATCCAACTATATCTCATCCGACCAAATGGTATGACCTGGATA